CTTTATTCTGATATATTAAATTAAATATTATATTATAGAAATATTATATTAAATATATTATATAAATAATTATATAATATGACACATTATTATAATATATTAATTAACAATGTTGTTGTTGATGCTCGTGAACAAACAGTCGATGAGGATTTCCCGCAGACGGATGCAGCTTCAATCCTGGAGACGGTGGGGGAGAAGGAGAGGATGAATGTTGGGGCCGGCTCCTCCTCCGACTTTATGCCCGATCCTGATCGCGCAGTGTGGGCTGATAGCTTGCACATGCAAGAATCGCAGGAATACGGGGCTACTCCCCCCATGGTACCTCCGACGGTCAAGTCAGTTGATGAACTTGGAGATGGTTTGTTGAGAGGCCCATGGGCCATTGAGGTCCTTGCAGGGGTTTTTTTCTCTTGGTATTATTAAAATACCCAAGGTGAGTAAAATTAAGGTGCAAGTAGAAGTAGTTAGCCCTTTATTCTGCCCTTACCTTCCTTACCTCCTTTTATAGCCCCATTGCCTCTAGGAGTTTGACCCTCGGCTTTTGTGGACTATGTACAGGAGGTGGTTTGAAAGATGAACAGGCAGGTCAGTGAGTCATCTTTCTTCCTCTAGGTGTCGGCAGGCGACTGGGAGGGAAGTCACTCGGTGTCAGAGGAGAGAAGTCTTCTCAGTGCTCTGGGTTTGTTAGAGTAGGCAAGGTGTAGGGTAGGTCGGCTGTATGGCCATCCTTCTTTCTCCAGGTGGCAGCTGGGAATTGGGGGAGAAGTCACTTGTGTACAGAGAAGTATCATGACAATTATCTAGAAAATGACTTGTGAATGAAATAGGCGGCTTGCGCAGGAGATCATTGTCAGAGCGTATATCTTGATAGGACTAGTCAATGCTATAGCTTCGAGTGACATTTGAAGTGGTTCTGGTCGGATCTTATCCCTTTAGTCGAGGCAGGTTGATCCGTGAGTCGTCACTATAATTTGTCGACCGACAACCGAGTGAGTTTTGGGACGAGAGCGCCTTCGAGACGTCCGCTCGGGGGGGTCGTCTTAATTGCGGAGGACCGACTGGTCCCGCGCTTTGAGTCGATTATGACGACTCTTGGTCAAGAGAGGGCTCGCCCGCTTGACTGGTTAGTAGACTTGACCTCAGTCCGGGCTTTTGAGTTTCTTAAGCCGGTCAGGACCATAGCTTTTTGGGCCATTATAGTCAATCTTTCGACTGTTATCATAATAGTTGTTATGGTGTTTTTAGTCGCCAAAGTATGACCATTTGCCAACAACGGACATGTGTCCCCTTACATGCACCGTTCAAATCGAATTGACGGTCAAGACTACCAAGAATCTCGACTTAGCTGACCCGCTGAGTCGACATCTAATTAGATCGATTCAAAGGGCGATACTTGTCGGTCCTCTTGTCGAAAACGACTCGCTACGAGCCTACTCAACCAGTTATTCGACACCTTGCAAGGTCAACTCGAAAGGCGTTACTTCTCGACACCCCTCGCTATAAGCCAGAGGACGACTTCAACCTCGAGCCTCTCCTGCTGATAGCACGTCGGCATCACATTATAAATGCTTGGCAGACGCCGTCATTTCTCCATCCCCTACACTACTTATGACACATCTGGCCACGTCGACACCGCCATGCCCCAATCATTTCGCATTAAATACTGAGGTAAACTCTCCTCTACTCATCGACCGACACATGTAAAGCAGATGCTGATGTGGACCGCCATCCCATACCCGGTCAGAATTATCATTCTACCATTTTACCGCCACTATAAATCTGGGTATTATTCTCAACAATAGGGTAAGCAATCTCTCTGAATTCTTTTCCACTCCACTGCACTTTAGAACTCACACAGTTCGTTATTTCCTCACTCAAGTCCATCACTGACTTGATTGTCGAAGAAACAATGGGAGGACTAGTCTCCGTCCTCTTACGAGCTGCTATTTATGCATGGAGAAGCTACCCAACTCAAAACCAGATATTCGGAGA